AGACAGACGGACAGTCGGGCGGACGGACGACGGACAAAATGTGATCAGAAAAGCTCACTTGAGCCCTCGGCTCAGGTGAGCTAAAAACGACGGTATAAAATTCTGTTGAGGTGTTTGAATCAAGGGCCTATGAGCAACAATCCTAACCTAAGTATCTTAGAACCTGATGTTCCTTTCCAGATCGTCCCTATTATGGCCCCGCCCTACCCCCTGGAGGTCATGATTCGAACAATTGAGAATCTGTAGATATGCTTCCAAATATATTCCAGTTTGAGATATTTTTAAAGTTACATATATTTCAATGTAAAACGTGAATTCCCTATCGGGCCCGCCCTTACCCTTGGGACCATGATTTGAACAATTTATACAACTAATAGATGCTTCCATTTAAGTTTCAGCTTTTTTCAAAGTGGTTTCATCTTCATTTCAATGAAACTTGGATTCCTTGTTGATGCCCCGCCTACCCACTTGGTCATGATTTTGTCAATTTATAAAGGAGTCTATTAATTATATCCCAGTATGCTTTCACAATAGTTTAAGTTTTTCTGACCCAGTGATTCTTCAGACAAAGATTTTTTTTTCTGTACTAGTATTTTTAATGTTGAACTTTGATAGCTTAATGTGGCCCTGTCCTACCTGCAGTGTTCATGATTTTTCACACTTCAGAATCCACACTAGGCCACAGGATGCTTCTACATAAGTTTTAAATTTGTTTTGTTAGGGGTCTTGGTCTATCTTTTTAGCAAATTATACATCCCTTCACCCAAGCTGATTTGTACCAACTTCGGTAAACGATGGCCCGGTGATTCTTGAAGAAGTTGAAAATATGAGCAAAAAGAGATAAATGGATGATTTTTGACTGTGAAGTTACCTCTACATTTGTTCATTATTCCTCCTTTTCTTCTTGGGCAGCAGCAAAGTCGGTAAGGAAGTGTTAAAAGATTGATTGGAGAAGGTATCCGTTGCTCGTAATCATTGATTACAGTACATCGGTGAAATCTCCAGAGTTTCTCGGAGTTTTGTTGAACTCTTTCAAATGTATAACTAAAAAAGAAATAATGTACAGTGTATGCATACTAATATGGTGGAATGGGTGTATAAACGAAGATTTACCTTCAAAAATACCAATGATTGGACAATGGCTTTCCAAAATGTGTCTTATTCAGAGCAATTATATATTCATCTAAAAGTTTAAGGATAACATACCAATGCTAATTAATTTGTGACCAAACACTTAACGTGAAAATTGACAAGTATGTTCAACTCAATTTGAAGAAATCAAACTTATCCGCACACGAGACACACACAAGATGCTGTCAATTTTCATTTCTACTCGAATGTACGTGTACCTGAACATGGCGATAACAAGATTCACCAAAAGCAGGTTAGAGAACAACATGTAGAATCCTGCTACCGCAATTACAGTCCAGTCCTCCTCGGGGCATCGGTCGATTGAAGTATCCGTCTTCCAAATATTTGTATCATTAGTACAGCCTGATAGTTCCTCCCCTTTATATAGAATAAATCAGTACATGTATGTAAGAACAGACTTATACTTATTTGACCAGAGATCTGGCGTTGATCAAAAAGATATGTTTGATATTAAATAATAACTCTTCGTTTTCTCCAACAAAAGTATTTCGAGGAGGATTTCCTTCAATAGCTGCGTGAGAGTTTATCTTGAATCCATCTATATTATAGGGGTTAAATTAAAAATGACTTGACATAACCTTACTATTCTAAAGAAGTTTCATATATTTTTTTCCTGTTGACAAGGATCCCTCCTCAATTCGTATCCCGGCTTGCACTGATTACTAACGGATTTTTTGTGTTAAGTCGAATATAAGTTTATAGTCACCCACATGGGACAGAAATTAGAGAGTTTGCTATGTAAGTTGTTTATCCTTACATAACAAGTTTGAATTTAACCAGGCCATGATAAATCCTTCTTTGGAGGAAAACTTAAACCACGGGTCCGGAATCTTGAGTCACAGAGAAGGTGCTGACACAAACACTAAGTGTTCTGTATGCCAGTTTAAGGTCTAAGTGTTAAACCCTTCACGAGTAAAAGGCATCTTCCCTAGCAAAGGATTCCTGATACGCATTTCTCCTCATTATCCCTTGCCAAAAGGTGATGTGAAAAGACGGGACTGTTTTTTGTCACGTGATCTCTAATTTTGAACAGGTACGCACAAATTGCATTATTTGCAGAAATAAATAAAGTGAGTCATTAAAGTATTTAAAGAATAAATAATAAGAATGCATTGATTTTTCATTTGATATGTTCTTTGCAAATTTACAATTTCAATATAGGTTCTTCTTCATATTTTATACTTTATATCTTAAGATTTTTAATGTCACTATATCAGATTATTTATTCATTAGAATAGCATGTGACCGTTGTTTACGTGCATTGTTCATAACCAAGAGTAAAGAGTCAAAATATGTCCCCCGACGCAGATACTGTCTTATACCATAGACGATTGCTGATTGGTCTATAAATTTCGATCTACTCTGACAATTTGACAAAAAAAAAATCCCAACTCTCATTAACATTGTATGCCAAGGGCATATGAGGAGAATAATGTATCAGAACCCCTTGGCTAGCTAAGATGGTGTAAGTTGTGGCGTTTCATAAGGGTGAAAATTGAACGAAAGGGGGGTTGTAATCTTTGAGCAACAATACACATTGATTAAAATTGATAAGCTGGTTATAGGAAATAATTTCCTGACGATGGCATTTAGCACATCAACGTTGAAGGAAATTTAAAACAAAAATCTTTGATAAATTCTCTCTGCATTGAAAAATGAATTGATTTACCTTCCAATACTTCATTGTTAATTTCACCGTATAACTGCCAGTAAGGATAATAGATGATTGTCCAAATCCTCCAGTTAACCCAGTTTCCCTTCCATATTGTTGGGTGATCTGGCCACAGGTTAGCGTGGTAATACATTCCTACCCCTAGTACGACAAACACTGCAAGACCGAGGAAGTAGAGGAGATCCTTTAACTACAAGATACTAACATTGCTAAGTACAATTCCCATTTTATAAATGGATTAAATATGGCCTACTCACAAGATTTCTTTATAATAAAAAAAAAACAGAAACATACAACGTTTTCTCTCGACCTTTCACGTTAAAGACATTAACTTCGACGTTAAAGACATTAACATTCATAAAATGACCAGTGAGATCGAGGTAAATGAGTTAAAGTGTTTTAGAAAGAAAAATAATATTTCCTGGATTATCTGAAAACGATGTTGATACTTATCATTTACCATTTCTTTAATCATGATTAGAGTTGGTCCCATTTTTCTGTGCACCAAAAAGACTTCAAGAAACCTCAGGTACATAACAAGAAGAGATAGCGATAACATTCTTCTTGCTACTGTGTAATTAGTGGACGGGTGGAAATGGCGTACAAACAAGGCAATGATCAATAAGACATATGATACAAGGTCCACCATATTCCAGAAGTCGTAGAGGTGCCTCTTAAGTCTAGAGTATAAGCCGCGATGGGATCGACCTTCTGATTCCAAACAGCCCTATAAAGTAATGATAACAATGAAATGTGAAGGTTATGCAATATATCTGTGTTGATATGATGATCATTTGATTTAATATCTAAAATTTAATATTTAATATTTTATTTAATATACAATTAATATATGATAAAATGTTTCTATTCACGTGAATTTTAATATTAAGTTGCTGTTTTTTCTGTTACACGTATTAGTAGCTGATCAAGTAACCAAAAGAGTAACCGAATATTGACCAAACGTTCTTGATATTTTAGTCAAATACTGTGGAATCATCGGAAAGACAAATAAATTCTTATACAAAGAGTTTTGACACTTGATTCATTTTTCATTGAGAATTTTTCTAATCTAATTTGAAGTAAATAATATGTCCTTCACCGACAGGAAATTAAACAAGAGGCCCACGGGCCTTCTAGGTCACCTGAGTATCATATAACAACTTTCCAGCGATTGTGTTTGGTTCGAGTTTTAATCCAAAAGCCATGAAATTCACAAATTTTGAAAGAGGCACCATTGCTTATCAAAGAGCAGATTTCAAAGCATTAATTTATTTTTAGTAAAAGTACTCTCCTGGTAACCCTGACCCAGCGGCCCTGAAATTATCTATTTTGAAAGAGGCCCCTTTCTTCATTACAAGGCCAGCATTTTTTTTTTTATTTTTTGGTTTAGTTATGAACATGAGAATGAAAAAGTCCTGAGGGAGAAGGAAATAAAAAAATTTTTTTTGATAAATCAATTATCAACATTTGTACATTCTTTTTTTATGCTATCCTAATAGGCTCCTTACCACTGGACACATAATGCTTACAAATAGGAAAGTAGAACATTTAATTCCTTATTTCATCATCTGCCAGTTTGGGCCAGTTATATAAATTTTGTGATGTTGATCAAAATATATTAAAAAAAATCAATTCTTAAAAAATCTTTCAATATATCTTCATTTTTTTATATGTGTTAGGTGAATGTGTAGACATTGTTGTAAAATATACTTGATGCCTAAAATTATAATTCCTATCATAAAACAGACAGGGGGTATTGCGGAGTAGGGTGAACATTTTTTTCAATTAAGTGTAAAATAATTTTTCTGGCTGATACAAATGATACAACATGCCTTTATATATTTGTATATTTGTATTATATGTTCCTGCTTTTTTAATAGTTGTTTATTTTTTCAGGTTACTGTTTATTTCTTCCTTAAACAGACTTAACTTCTCCCATAGTTTTATTCATTACATCTGATGCATGAGCAAACCTTTTCTGAAGAATGATGCTTAGACTGTAACAGAGGCCTAAACAATGTCGCTGGCAATATGCAATAGCTACCATGGGCAATTTAAAACCTGTGGGAGGAAAATAATTTACAGACAGATACTTTTGAAACGAATACATAATTATCTCACCAGCATGTCATAGTGAAACAAAGTCGTCAGCATTTTATTTGTCCTTTGAACGTGTGAAACGTTTTGAATGGCACTCTTATCGATGAATTTTACACTAAACCAAGCTATCTTCGCAGATCTAGGCATTCTAGCTTTATTTACCCGCCGTTTCATCTTAAACCGGAAGTGCGAGTTCGTAAATTTGAAATCTCGATCCCGACTCAAATTTGAGAATCGAAAAAAATTATTTTTTTCCCGAAAATTCAAAACCTTGAGCGGAGGGTTTGTAAAACTGAAAATAAAATAAATCCTGGCCTTAAATATGTAATTAGATCATTAGCATATTAACCAGGAGCAAAGGATAAGATGTTCAAAGAATTCATGCATTTCACTATATAATCATTAGAGCCCCACCCTAAAACAAGAACCCCTGACTCAGGGGCCCTGAAGTTCACAATTTTGGTAGAGGCCACCTTATTCAACATAACTATGTACTTGGTTACTTTATTTAATGCCCATGAGCAGAGAAGAAGATTCTCAAAGAATATATGCATTTTCACTATGCAATCAATTTAGCCCCGTCCTAGCACTAGAACCCCTGACCCTGGGGCCATGAATTTCACAATTTTGGTAGAGGCCACCTTATTTAACATAACTATGTACTTGGTTAGTTTCTTTAATGCCCATGAGCAGAGAAGAAGATTCTCAAAGAATATATGCATTTTCACTATGTAATCAATTTAGCCCCGTCCTAGCACTAGAACCCCTGACCCTGGGGCCATGAATTTCACAATTTTGGTAGAGGACTCAGTGCTGATTACAATCATGCAAACAGTTTGACTGCTTGATGTCCAGGAGTAAAGAAGAAGATTTTGAAAGATTTCATTAATTTTAGTGGTTTTGGCCCCACTCCTCAGGCCCCAGTGGGGCGGGGACCATGAAATTCACAATTTATGTTCCCCTTTATCCATAGATGCTTTGTGCCAAATTTGGTTGAAATTGGTTGAGTGGTTGCAGAGAAGAAGCTGAAAATGTTCAAATGTTAACGCACGGCGCACGACGGACGACGGACGACGCACGACGACGACGCCAATAGATAGCAATAGGTCACCTGAGTTTACTCAGGTGACCTAAAAATTGAATCAGAAATTTTTTTCAGTTCCCTCAGAATCCAATATTCATCTCTTACAAGGAAGCTTATGAGTTCTTCTATAAGGTCACCAGCTCCCCATAAATACACGTAATATTCAAATATTTTGGATATATCGAGTGAATAGTACTCGTCTCCAACACCAGTCAACACAAAGGCACTGTAAAACACCAGCATGACGAAGAACATGACCTGTAAGAAAATAATATGTAATGGACATATGCCGAATACTGTTCTATATGTAAAATAATCAGACTGTTTGAGGCCCGTTAGGGCCGAAAACTGTCTGATAATTTTACATATAGAATAGTATGAGGCATATATCTTACTTAAAACATTGCCATTTAAATGTCCAAAAGTTACCCGGAGGAGTCCGATAATAACACAATGGGAGTTTAGGCATCCATTGTTTTCTACCCGTCTGATAAGTAGATAAAAGAAATGAGACAGTAAAAAAGAAAGTGAACACTTGTTTCATTTCATTCATTCAATGGCAGTCGTTTAGTTTAGCAGGACAGGGGTCTTGTGGTAAATTTATTTCAAATTTTTAAGTGTTTGGATTTTTTAAAAACGTTTAGAAACTGCATTTTTAGAAATCAGAATGTAATTAAAATTTTGAATATTTTCCATACATTACAAAGATATACAAAACAGATTTTGAGGAACGTCTCGATTGACCTTCAGTCTAGTAAATGTCTTTAGACTAATTCAACATAGTTATTCAAATTTCCAAAATTTTTACTATTAAAGTACATCAAAGTTCCAGAGTTTTTTTTTTTTCAAAGTTTTCACCAATGTTAATCAAAGTTTTAAAGTTTTTTTTGTAATTACTTTAATAACTTAATATATAGTTTTATTAAGTTTATTTTTTTACTATTTAACTGTTTTAAGGGGGGGAGGATATTGGGTTTGTTTGGGCTGGGTTTTGTTGTTCCTTAATTTAAATATCTAACGTAAAAATTTAAATGCAAAATTCTCATTTAACAGTAAAAAAAACATTGACTAAGATAATAAAGCAAATATTTTGATTCTTAAATGACGCAAATTTTATTTCATAGTATATTTTGTTAGGGGTACCCAAAAAGAATCAGAGGGATCAAATAGCTAATTTACGAAATATTTAGATAAATTGTTACGCTAAAGTAAAGTGATACATTACATAATCTTCTCCGTTATTACATTGAGAGAAACAGCTTAAGTATGAACAGCCGTAGAATAATTCACAGAATACGCGAGTTTCGAGATTGTAACGATATAGTCGCAAAAAGTGCCCATTTCATCATTGGGTGGAACATGTTGTTTCTGTAAACAAATGTGCATAAATAAATGCACGATATTCATGGCTTTTAAAAAATTATTAATGTTATAAAAAGATAATATTGTTAAGTAGTGATGAATTTGATGGTTTTATTAAGCTCAACTATGCATATTTACAAATCTTCTTTCAATTAAAGTGTTCTTAAAAACTTAAGCCGATTTTCTTGATTTTACAAACATTTTTTAAAAAGAGTTATAATAAGAAAAAGAATCAATGTGTCATTTAGATTTTCGACGTGCAGTCATCATATGCATGTGTACCGTATGTATTAGAGGTCCGTATGTCCTCCTCGTCTGAAAAGTCTCACATCCACTGTTACTTTCTTTTTTGATACAATTTTTGCTTTAAAAATAACGCTTTTACATTAATTATTCGGTTATTTTCGAGTTATAGAGTGCATCCTGACAATCACGTAGTTATGATAAACCAATATATCAATGATGCAATGTATCCAATATATAAATATCTGTCCCACCTGTCTGTTTATCCAGCAACGAAACTTCCCTCATCAACAAAAGAGCTCATCAAGGGAGTTAATCTCGAAACTTGCATATTAGAACTTAGTTCACTTACATAATTGAACATGTATTTTGTGATTGGGGCCCCTATAAATTCCTTGGGTTTTCGTAATCCGGACTGAAAAAGATATAAATAGAATGAAATTATATAACCAAATGCAATTAGTCAAATAAAAACATTTTATCAATAATCTCAATTTATATGCTGTCCACTTTTTAATAAAAATTTTCAATTTTATTATATGTAGGAAATATTAACTGCATGTCTGTCTATATCAAAGTCAAATAGTGTAGAATCAGATATTTTCAAAGCGTGACCCCAGATGTTGCCACAATAAATGATCAAAGTTAAACATACGAATATATTGCAAAAACTTTGAAAATTTTCTCTAGATCAGCAAAGCAATGATTGCTCATAGTTATGTGAATGCATCCTCAGTTGGTGTAGGAGGTTGCTCAGCCCAAGGGAATAGAGTGGGGTTACAATGGATAATCAAAATTTAACATATGAGATTGTAGGTAAAATCTCCAACACCTTTCTCAGGAACAGCAAAACTATGATTAAACAAATTCTTATGGAAGCAGCCCAGTTGGTATAGTTTCAAGTTTGTTCAAATCATGACTCCCGTGGGGTAGGATATAGCCTCAAGGGATGATCAAAGATTTCCATAGGAGTTAATAGAGAGATCTTTCAAATCTTCTAAAGAACAACAAGGACATGGTTGGTCACATTTACATTGTATATGGAAGCATTTTCTGTTAGTGTAGATTAAACTTTGTTGGAATCAGGAAGTAGATGGTGGCCTCAACGAAAGTTCAAATTTGTAGGGAAAAATACAGTTAAAATAATAAAGGAAATCTTTGATTGTTGTAGATTGAGTTTTGTTCAAATAATCATACCCCTTCCTACCATCATAGGGGTAAGTGGGGACCACTAATGCACAGAGTTTTTAAAACATAAACTGATTTTTTTTCTTTTTTTTTTTCATCCACAGTTTTTATGTGAGCGATTTGGCCCCTAGGTGTAATGTAAAAGATACCATCAATCGACATAATTTATTATTCGGACAGAATTAACAAATTGTCTTTTATTGATACCTTCACAAATGGCTTGAAGTCAGGAGCTAAATTGTTGTACCAACGTTTGTTCATGTTCTTCTGAGAGCAAGTGTGAGCAACGATGTCGTACATGAAGTTTTCGTGCGCAAAGGTCAGAGGGCAAGACTTTATACCCCAAACAACAGCCTCGTCATCCATAACATTAATAGCATTTTTATAATCTTCTTCGAACATGCCGTCCATTAATTTCAAACATCTTTCTTCAAACATCCTTTAAAATGAGAGTAAACAATTATTAAATACTACCATCTAGTTTTAAAAACCACAGGGACCATTATGTCAAAAACTCTTGTTTTTGTTTTATGACTACTTACTATAAGTATGTCAGCTATACAATAAACGTCAGAATCTCTTATATAAGAACTAATCAAGAACTATGACATATGTGCCATAAAGATTCAATATCAATTCTATTTAAGTCAACAGATTATCTGATTATAAATCAGGGGTGTGATTAATATAAAATAAAAATAAAAAATGCTGAAATGAATAGTCGCAGTGGATAAAAATCATATCAAGTTGCAATGGCTGTACCTAGTATAGACAGAATAAAGGTCATCTATATAATGCAATAAATAGTCATATTTACATTTTTCGAACATTTAAAAAAAAAATTGAAAAATCTTTAAAAATATCAAAAATATATATTTGGCGTCATAAAAAAATGCTGATCTTTTCATTAAAAACCTTAAATATGCTGCGAAAAACACAAATAAAGAAATGGAATTACGAGAAGAAGAAGACTATTGGGGATTGTTCAAATATCTGAAGGAGGAAAGATTCTTTGTGAATCGTTGGGTGATAATGTCATCCTGCAGAACCTTTCATATCTGACAGAATTTTCTATATGTACATAAAAATCGAAATGAATCATTTTGAGAGGAAAGTAAAAATATGTAGAAATATAAATAAGTCATCATACTTTGCATGATTTGCAAATTCTATGGACAAATTTTGTTCCTTGACGTTGTTTGCCTTTTTGGAAAGTTTATGCAAAACTGAAGTACACACAAGTCCTGTCACTAAAAAATAGAATCATTTGGCATAAAAATTGCATAAAATATTGTGATTATTTTTTGGTACTTTTATGAATTAAATGAGATATGTTAATTCCGTTACATCGATGGTCTTTTTTTTATCTCTTATAAAATAAAACTTTCATGTATTTGATTTCATCGTTTTTATTGTATCAGATTTAGAACAAACAATTATTTTTATGTTCTACAACTTACCGAAAAATTATTTTAAATGCTTACATAAGTGGTCTGTCGTTCGCAGCCAACATATTTCAGATATTTCCATTCGATTTGCAAAGATCGCCCAAAGCAAAATATCAGAGACCTTCACAATTTTTTCGTCATTTTCTTCTTCGTCTTTATCATCTTTATCATCATCTTTATCATAGTCTACACAGATAATTAAAAAAAACATTCTGAGAGAATTGAATAACCATTGAATTACCATTACTACATGTAGTACCCAACCGGCAAGTGTAATCTGGTTACCATAAAAAAAAAATTAAAAGTGAAAAAAATCCCGCAAAAATCTTTTAAGTGGAACAAAATGAAAAACCTAAAATAAAATTTATAAATACAAATGTATATACACTTGCTTCTCTTATTTCAATTATCAGCTTAAGATTTGGAAGCTGTAAGAAAAATGGCTGTAGAGAAGCCATAAAAACTGAGACGGCAATTCAGTCTAAACTCATTGAGCGGATCCGGAGCGATGAACAATTGTGCTGACACGTCAAGTAATGTTCACAAACCAGAAATTAAATCAAAATCTACTAACGGCTAAAACAATATACCGAAAACCAAGTGGGAAAGACTGACTCAGAAAAGGAACACAAAGAAAGAGGGACGGTGAGACAAGGATGATACCTTTATTCCCTTACGATTTATACAGTAGGATACTCAAACTGAAGAAAGTAGCGTCAATTTAATCAATTTAACTTGTCATACTTAAGCAAGTATTCCTCTGAAAGAAATGATCGGCATGGGGTCATAAAGTCAGCATTGTGAATTGCCTTGAAATAAGTTTTAAACTGAAGTGGAGCAACCAAACGCGTTCTATGGCGGCAGCAGAGATAAAGGTTATAAAAAAAGATAACTATTCATGCAATATTCAGTACCCACAAATGTACTACAGTACTATTCAATGTTGTAATTGTGTTTCTATGCAACACGGATATCCAAAACACCAGAAGCGGGATTAAATGCCATGGAAGACTGAGTATCTCCTGCCAACCGATCACACCCTCCGTGTGTTCTTGTTATGATAGGGACACAATGGGAAATTTTGTCGACAATTCCGTGTAAAAATAATGACCTAACAATACCGGTAAACGTCATTTGACTCAATGATAAATTGCATTTGCTTACAGGGTCATTATATCCACCATAAAGTAAACATTCGTCACCTGTATCAGAAGAGTTGTTACATGTAGATTGCCATTGAAATATTTTAGCTCACCGAGCTGAAAGCTCAAGTGAGCTTTTCCGATTACCCAATGTCTGTCGTCCGTCCGTCCGTCCGTCTGTCTAGCTATCTGTCTGTCCGCCCGTCTTCTGTAAACTTTTCACATTGTCAGCTTCTTCTCAGAACCACTGGGCAAAGAAAGCTGAAACTAATGTGGAAGCATCCTGGGGTAGTGTAGATTCTAAATTGTTCAAATCATCCCGGAGGTAGGTCAGGGTCACAATATGAAATCCAAGACTTACATTGAAATGAAAAGGAAAAATTTTCTTCTCAAGAAATTGACAATACAACAAAATAATCAATTATTTATATCCCCCAAAATAAGATTTGTTTTTTTTATATAAACATTTTTATCCTAAACTATGCTACAAAGTATTTTTTAAGCATAGTGCATGAAGTATTGGAACAAGAAGCTGAAAGTTATGTGGAAGCATCCTGGGGTAGTGTAGATTCAACTCTTTCAAATCATGACTCCTGGGGTTGGACTAGAAAAGCTGAATCGTATTTGGACGCATACTGGTGTAGTGTAGATTCTACGTTGATCAAATCTTTACCCTCGGGGGTAGGGCGGGACCACAATATGAAATCCAATTTTACATTAAAATATATAGGAAATATATTTAATCTTCTAAAGAAGCACTGCAATGAAATATAAAAATTATTTGAAAATATTTTGGGGTAGTGTAGATTCTATATTGTTAAAATTATGAATCCGGAACTAGGGCGGGGTCAAAATAGGGAAGTTGTGTTTAACATTGAAATATAAAGGAAATGTCTTCTTCTAAAGAACCTCTGGACCAGGAAAGCTGAAACTTATGTGGAGGCATCCTGTGGTAATGTTGATTCTAAACTGTTCGAATCATGACCCCTGAGGGTAGGGCGTAGCTAAAATACGTATTACAAGAGTGATACTGGTGAACAGCATGGCCTAAGAGACTCAGGTTTAGCGTTGTGGCCCATGGAGCTCTTGTTTAAGTAAAATATCAAAATCTGAAACAGATGTGTCAGACTCAGTGATATCTCTTATCTCAAGCTCAACAGGATATATCGCATTGAGATAAGAATAGGCATAACCATTGCTAGTTGACAGAACGGCGTCGATATATCTAAACAAGAAGGTGAAGGCCACAACAAGTGTTTTCTTCTTTTTACGTATACGAATTTGGACAAATTCTTCTGCTTCATTTGAATAGAAAAAAATGTCTATTAATAATGAGACACAATTTGTACCCATAGGATTTACGATAGATAGTTGGATGATATAGTCCCCCAAAATCACATAAATATCGTCAATTAGAAACTCGAGCATCCTTTTAATGTTTAACTCAGAGTATATGTGTGTACAATCAAATTTTTTAAACAAAATAATTTTGTATATGACCAATGACAAGATTAATAAATCTACAAGTTCCATTCTTATTGAAAAAGAAGCTGACAATGATAACAAATAGCCTGGAATTTATCATATCGTGGGGAATGGCTATGTTCAAAGTTGAACATCTCAAGTTTTTAAGCTGATGAATTAGGTAAAATCTAGATATTATTTCAAAATTTCCAATAGGCCCTTCGATTTTTTAAGTACATTTGTATCCACATCTGATTTACATGATTTTTCGAATATATTTAGACACAGTAATCTTAAAGATTTTCCTTCACTACTGTCAATATCATAGTGAGATTTAAAGAAAGAGTTTTGGTTAAACATCTACTTGAACCCTCGGTGTATATTTGTTTGTAAAGATTTTTATGAAGTTTAGGAGTCTAATATAGATATCGCTCTCCTCCTTTTCTGTTTTGTTTGATAGACCTTGAATACTGTTTGTTATCTCGAATATATTTCATTCAAATTTATTTTGGGTGTATAGAATATTGAAATACTAAAAACTGGTATATTATATGGAAGAATCTTTTCCTAAGAAAGGGAACTATAAGTATTAACTGGATAAGTATAAACGATATTACCATTGGTAGAAATAAATCCAAGTTCCTGTAAAATACATACATGTACTTCACAGATGACATTGACAAGAAAAGATCCCTGACTGCTCAATGGCCGAAACTACCGAGTGAAGATAAAAAAAATTGCAGTATATCACCGATATATGCTTACGTTTTTATATGAGTGAAATATTCACGAAATGGACGGAATAAAAATCAAACAGTCTTTTAGTAAAAATACTTTAAAAACAGTCTCAAAATTAAATTAAATATATCAATTAGGGAAATGGGATATGTTATAAAACCATTATAAATTATCTCAATTTATCCTGTGAAGATTTGGAAATCAAATACAAACCTTTATATCCAAGGATTCTTCGACACAACCCCTTAGCAGAATCAGCAACCTCTTTTTGTCTCTTTTCCTTTTCCTTTAAGGCTTTTTCGAGAGTTTCGTTCTTGCTTTTTTTTCTTTTTATCTTTTTTTCAATTCTTTCTACGTCTTTTGGGTTTGAATTTCCTTGTAGTTCTCTCTCTAATTTGGCAATTTTACGTTTTCTTTTGTTAATTTTCTTTTCAATTTGTCTGTGAGTAAAACACAATTCTTTTGCTTTATCTTCTGCGATTTGCTAAAATTAGAGCATAATTACTGTAAAGAACATGTAGAAATACTGAAATTTTGTAAGACTTACACTTTGTACAAGTACTGGTATATTACAAAACATATTATTTTTTTTGACATGGGTAAGTAACTGCAACATGGTTGACAATTATCCTTTGTTGATTGCTTAATGGGAACTGTATCATATCCAATAAAAACAACATCATGTATTGTTGTGGACACTCCTCCCCCCCACCCCCCCGGTTAATGACATCAGGCTTTGGAGATTTCTTAGAAAACATTTACTGAAACGCATCTTATTTCGGCGGTCGGATTGGGTGGGGGTGGTTGGTGGGGAGGTAGTGCTATATAGGATGTAAAAAAGTTAAATATGTTACAATCGTTCGTGTTAACATATTTGTTTAGTATGATTCGGCATACTTTAGACGATGTGTTAGTTAAACTGTAAATCATGGAAATTCATGAAATACCTTTGGAATTCTTGAGTAAATCCATGAAAAGAGAATAATTATGCATGTTAAATTGAAATGTCATGGCGAATTTATGTCTTAAGAGAAAGCCAGTTACATAATTCACAACAATTAATTACATCTAAATTGTTGTCTCCATTTTCTTATCATCAAAGCCAGTTTAATGGAGTGTGGTAGCTGTTAATAACATTTAAGGTTTTCTAGAATCAGAACATGCAACATTGCGAATAGAAGTGGATGTAGCCGAAAGGCCGTTGAATACTCCGACTAGAATGTACTAATGGTTAAATGATTTTTGTACCATTACCGGTATTGAAAAATTTCTATTTCCTTAACTAAGCAACTCAATATGTAATATGACTCTGCTGATTTACAATAAACATTGTAAATCTTACTCTTGCTTCTTACAAACTCTTTTGAAAAAAATGTTTTGTATAGAAGTTTTGGAAAGCTTTAAATGTTTTCATATGGAAGAGGGACGTTATATTCACGCTAAACAACCACATTTCTTTCGTCAATTTTGGGGGAAAAAAATCTAAATTTTTCCATGCAATGACATAAAAGTAAGATTTTATAAAACAATTATCTGTACTTTTCAAAATCTCCCATTATCAAGACGAGCATTCTTACGCGTTTTGTTGCACTATTCAAGATGGAAAAGTTAACTAGGATTTAAGTAGAGATTTCTTTTACCTTGAGGAGCCATTGAATGTGGAGACAGTCGTCCTCTTCGAAATGGCAGTCTTTACAAGAAACAGTCTAGAATAATCAAACTTTTCTTAATATTTCATATAATATTTCATAGAAGCTTACATAACTGCAACATGTTTTATTACTGAGTTATAATACAGTTAAGGATGATGCTGATTTAATTTGAATTTCATATAATGTATCACAATTTTAATTGAAAAAAGATGTGTATTCAGATAGAAATCCGGTTTTTGCAAAGAACTGATCTAAAATGATGATTACCAAGAGTCAACCTATAATAATATATCTTTATACAGTAATTGTTCATATACCTGGTCATAAAGATCGGATAAATTCGATAATCTGAACTGTATTCCTTGATCAAGTAAAACTCGAACATAGTCACATCTGTTCGCAACCAGTGCCTCAAAGAGCAATCTCTGTTTAAAATAAATCAAATACAGGATATTTAATTTTTGTTTTTCTAAATAATAAGTGCTGCTGTGATACATTTTACAAGGCCATTTTCTCTGAATAAAGTAAAATATCTACTTACATGGCCATTATCTTCTAACATATCTAATTCTTGCAGGAACTGATACTCGAAGTAAAAGCTCAAGGGTAAGGATGTAGGCGAAGAAAATTTTGTGTTTAAAACATAAGCATTTGTTTCTTTGCTTTGTAAATATTCTTGCTTAATATCTTCATCCTCTGGCCTCACAACATTTCTTTTCCAAAGCTGTCCAACAGATACAGTTGTTGCAATGTGTACAGATCCATTACTTTGTGGAATAAACAGTGATCTCTCCTTGTGCATCTCTAGACGACTTTTCGTTTTTACGTCTGTTTTGATTTAAAAAAAAACATTTGTTTGAATTTGTGGATTTAATATATATACCCTGGTAGATTACTGACGCACTTACTCAAATCAGACATATGCTGAGGAAATAAAAGAAATACATTCGATTAAAATCAACCAATCGACCATACCCATAAGCATAACTGAAATACCAAAAGATTAAAATGAACTATTTTGTTTTTTGTTATAAACTAGTAACATTTTTTTTACAATTAACTTTTAGGAAAGGTTTGACATATATAAATGCAAACCCCAAAGTTAAACAAATGTAGTGAATAACAGTCAGTAAAGTTTACGAAGCGCCCAAAATAAGGAATATGTAAGAATTCCCTTTTCAACTTCCTCATATATAAATTTTTTTTTATGATAATAAACCTTTATAAAACTAGGACAAAAAGGTTGATGAAACAAGAATATACCGGTCTCTTTTAACGTCATCATTTCGTAATTTCTATGGTCGATACAATGACCTTATCAACAACTAATTGTCCATTATCTATACACTGAATTGAATACAAATGTTTCCACTATTTCCTGATCATGACAAGGAGCACATGGCTGGTGTGACCGGTCGGCAGGGGATGCTCACTCCTCCATGACAACTGATCCCACCTCCGATGTTTTGGAGGTCCGTGTTTGTTCTGCTCCTACTTTGTATTTTCTATGGAGTTTTTTTTATCTTCAATACTGTTCATTATCTCCATAGGTTTCATCCATTAAATACCTTGATTTTTACTTCTTAAAATTTTTTCTATTGCCCAGCAACTGACAACAGCTTCACCAATGAGTTTGGAAAGCATCAATGGATCCTCACAGGTAAGATCAAAGACAGTGACCTGTGCAAAGGCAAAATTTTAAAGAGAAATGCGGTAGAAATAGTTTATTATATTTGAATATTTCATATTTATATTTGTCCATAATATAACGATTCTAATTTTATACCCATGAATATTAATAGTACGAGTATATCAAATAAAAGTACGTTAAAATGATAGTGTAACACTGAAAAAAAAATCACACTATTTTTAAATTAACTTCATGTATAATATCCTATACATTTGATTCCGACATTCTGTAAATAAAATAGAAAATAAAGATTGATCGTTTTTTCCCTTAAAATCCTTCTTATCCATGTTCGTTTTTAATGGATGTTAGTGGGCACAACTGAATCAGAACTAAATTTGAAAAAAAAAATCATCTATTAATGTAGGAAGTAGACAATTTGTTTGCTATTTCAAAATTTCCGTCAATTTTTTGAATAGATAAATTTAAATTTCTTGATTATATAATTTGAAAACGTTGTATACAATTTGCTCTAAAATATTCATACTATCGGTTCAAAATATATATTGATATGAATATAATGTAGAAGTTAGACGGATTTTTTCTCTCAAAATTCTGAAAATAAATGCACTGTAAGGGGTTCAAGTTTTGCTTGTAAAACTTTCAATATCCTTTTTGAGGGAGTTCGTAAAATCGAGAGACATTTTAAAATGTTTCAATGAAACAATGACCTAGATACATGTACGAGGGTTGATCCAAAAGTAATATCACAATATCGATATCTTTTATATTTGGAGTCATATATCAAATACAATATATCAAAATATCCATACATAGATATCTATTTAACATTTCAATTTTGGTTTACATGTATTAATGTTAAAATAAGTTCATTTTATAGATATTAAAAACTTAAAGCATAAGCGGTGTTGCTTCGTCATAACTAAACATCATGTTTTTAACAGCATATTTTATCAGGATAAAAAGAACCAAAAAAAATTTAAGTATTTTTGTTGCAAGGGAATCAACATGACCTTTTATTTAAATTGATATATATAAATTTCATTTTAAATTAATTTTTTTTTCTCATCATCGATTTGAATGAATACAATCAAAATAGAGAGTTTACAAGTATAGAAGCATGAACATACTATCGTACTGTCGTACGCTAGACAGGTGTGAAAAATGAAGCACATTAGCGTTATCAACTCCATAATGTGATGACGGGGAATGTTAAAATGTAATGTTCATTTTTTTTTTATGTTGGCGAAAAGTTATGTTATATACAACAAAAACATTTTTAGTTCGGTTATCCAAAACAACCTACCAAATCAGACGCTTTTGAAATGGCCTTTAAGTTCTCTTCCAATTCATCAAAGGTTTTTTCATCGAATCGTATTCCAAAAAGGATACTTGCTTTCCTTTTAAGATCGTCATGACTAAAATTAGATTTTTGAAATTAAACATTTAATTAAGAAAGTTATTTTAAATGAAATCCCTCATATAATTATACCAATAAGTATTATACATTTGACATTCAAATTATATTCTGTCAACAGTAGGATTTTCCGAAGGAATGATGGTTTAATCTGTCAAAAGGGCTAAAAAAAGAGGTAATTTTATATCGTGTTTGATCAGATCTAGAATACTTTTAAAAAGTTGATATTAAATTTCAATTTAACTAAATGTAAAGAAAAAGGAAGAAGCCATCATATACACGAGATATCAGAAACACATTTTTTTTCTCAGACAAGATCGCTTATGCTGTCATATCGACTTTATCAGAACTGCGTCTGAACCATGACTTAATTTACACTTTATATAAGGATATGCTATATAGCGGGTTTCTAAGGCAGGTGTAAGAAAGTGTTCATGGAACGTTTGCTTGCTGAAAGGCGTGCAACAATTTTCGTGAAACGTCTTTTCGGCGGTCACAGAGATCCATGACATTTTACGTAAGTTTTAGTACGTTAAATATACTTTTGAATACTGTTTTACACAAAAGTTTTTGTATCAAACATGTCTTCTTATGTAGAGGTACAGTGGTAATCATTGTATTTTCTTTCATGTATATTTATGTCCGAAACTGAAGAGAGGGAATTTAATGGGATTCAGGTTTTTGTGATTTTAGAGAATGTTTGAGCTCAGTCATTGCTCGTTGTCTTTTTTCATTTTACTTCTTTACAATAAATTATTTCTATTTCATTAGATAAAAGATTGACTAAGTTGGAAAACAATGCACAAACTTTTTCATGTAATCCGCAATCAGATCCGCAGCTTTTCCAGATCCCTTGATTATAATCACTGGAATCTTCCTATCTAGAGCACCCACAATGTGTTTAATTGTATGTATATCGCCTTCACATGCCAAAAGGACAATTGGGATGGGTAATTCTTAAAAAGAAAGATTTTGAATGTAGATGGTAAAGAAAATAAATTACAATAAATTTTTGCAATCAAGATTTTAAAGTTAAGACTTATTTAACACATAATAGCATGTTGATTTATTTTTAACAAGTCATGAAATGAAACAATACATTTTTTTATATAAAAAAAAAGAATATATGTATTGTTGAAATGCAAAGAAAATTTATTACTTAAACCAATATCTTCGCTGAGGAAAGGTGCTTCTTGTTTAGATACATATCCCTCGAAATCAAGTAAGAAAGATGTTTCACTTGAAGTTTCAATGTAACATTCCACTACTGCAGGTTCTTCAACGATCTTTCAAAACCAAAAATTAATGAAATCACACGTCAAAGCAAAATGACTTATTCAAGATTTTTTTTGACCTTGTGAATCTTAAAATATTTCATTCTGATTTATTTTTCAAATAAAAATTCAAGAAAATCTATACTTTAAAAAAATCACTTTTTTCATTGTATTTTTATGAAAAAAACACCTATAAAATTGTATATTTAGTTATTCTTATGTTAATGTTTAGTATAATATAAATTATCTATACATGTACATGCACCTTATTTATTTTACGAAAAAAATTAGTATAGAGAGTCCCAATTATACTTACTTTATTTTTGGAATGCTTTCTTTTTCTGTTGGTATTTCTCTATTAAAAAATAAATATACCAATACAGATTATGATATCATGTATTTTATAGTTTAAACAGGTTTAGCCTTCAAAAGAAACACATTTGAATAACAAACAAACAACATGATAACAACTTTTTCGTGCGCCCGGATTGATAGATCAGAGGCGTATATTGTTTTTGTCCTGTCGGTTTGTTTGTCTCTCTGTTTGTATGTTTGTCTGCAAACTTTAACCTTCACCATAACTTAACATAACATCGTAATTTTTTTTTAACTTTTTAAAAGGAAAGTGGTTAGAGATTATTACACATCTAATTATAAAGAGAACGATAAATTTTGCGAAGTTTTACAACAATCTTAAGTTTTTGGTCTTAGTCGTAAGTTCTTTTGTAAAACGGGCCCCAGAAATGCTTTGTGCATGTTTACGTTTATAGGTGTCGGTTAAAGTCAATATATTCAAAAGCCTGCTGTAATTACATTGAATTTGACGAGGCAAAGTCTAATTCGAGTGAACATGCCTTTGCGCAGCTTTTTAATTTTAGGCAGTCATTTGTGCGACAGTACACCTTTGATTTAAATACAAAAATTTTATTACCTACTGGTCTGAATAGGAACTTATGACACTAATTAGGAAAAAAAAGCACTGAAATGGCTTTAACAATGTTCAAGACGGCAGTGGATATTATACTAAAAACTGATGACAGAACATTCAAAGCAATCTAATTATTGCTATTTTTACCGAAAAAATCATATGCACCGATAATTAATCTGCACTGACATTTCTTTACACCGGAATATGGCAATTCAAGAGGCACTGGGCTTTGAGAAAATATAATCAATAATAGTTCAAACTAAATGGTCTTTTTTTATTTCACAATTTGGTGACGTTTTACAAAAACGTTTATTTACCTTGAATAAAAAAGAAATCTCTTGGGCAGAAATACAAAATTTATATGAAAAAATGTGATAATTTGGCACTTCTCCAACCAATTCCCATAGGGTTCATTTTAAAAATTTGACAACTTTTGAGATGGCCACTTCGAAATCGGGATGGTAAACATTCGATTCTTTAATCTTAAAGCAATAAATTTAACAGTAAAAACAAATAATTAAAAATCATTAAACTCCCTAGGGCAGAAATACTTAGACTCGGCCTAGTCAATTGTCGTTTGAAGAAATTATCTTCCTCATAATACTTTTTTCGATATTTTCTCTAATCAATCCCCTATACACACAAAGACGGAAGAATAAACTAGAATTCTTTTTGATAAAAATTTGTCAATGAAATATATGGAGATGTCGTAGTTAAACTCAAAAGTCCATAAAACAGTACAAAATAGAAGCAGGGCTTAAACGGACCTCCAAATCGTTATAGGTGGAATCTGATTTCATGAAAGAGTGAGTATCCCATACCTATTAGTCAAACCCGCCCTGTGCTTCTTTCCATGATCGAAAATTAACGGGAAAAATGTCGTCAATACAGTGTGTAAATGATGAATGATGAACAACTTCAGTCAGCATTTGACTCAATGATAAATTGTACTTGCTGAAAGGTCATTATATCGACCGTTGATCTTATGAAATCAATAAATTCCCCTTAAGCATTATTTTTCACAAGGTCAAGCAGGGAGCACATCCCACCCCACCCTACTGAATATTCTGCATATTTTTATTACAAGTTAACTTACTTGCTTAACTAGTGTGAAAGATAAGAGTCTGCTATTTTAAACCGATGCAGGCTGCTGACTGATTATCTTATAATACAGTTATTTCAACAAATTCATTTAAACTCATTTAAAGTAGGTATTTGGTTTACTGTTTTTGTCGAAAAAATGTCTGTATAAGCAAAAATTACCTCATCTAGGTCTTCAATCTGTAAATTTTCTGACTCCTTTATCTGTAAAAAAAAAAAAAAGGAAAAAAAAATTATATTTTGTTAAATATTTTCCATATATTGTAATTAAAAGAATATTTTTAAAAAATCAACCTTATTTTCACTTTGTCGCACCTTTGGAGAATTTCCAGCAATACTTATAAGTTTAACGTGTCTTTCCTGATCTTTAATAGGAACATCACGGTTGTAAGCTCGAAATTCCATATCCCCGTACTTTTGATAAGCCTTCCGGACAATGGCGGATAAACCGTAGTTATATCCTCGATAGAGAATCCACGTGTCTGAAAAAAATATGAAAAGTACTTTATATTCCGTAGTATTGAATAACATGAACAGTATTTATGGTGGTAGATCTAGAGGGGGGTTGAACATTGACAATCGTTGATTTGGTTTTCTGATATGCTGGAAAATATTAGTGATCTGCATTTTAGACAAAGAAGGCAGATAAGGATAAATGTTACATCAGATCTAAAGCAAACTAAAACGGCAATATAAATAGGCAAAATTTTCTCTGATCTTATTTCCAGAGCCAGAATGGAAATTAATAAGAATTACATGTATAAGGAATGTTTTGTTTTGGAAATAGTAAAAAAAAATTGTTAGAAAACACGGCTTGTATTTTTTTACATGAGATTTTTTAATACATGTACAAGGAATAATAAATCGAGAAACATCGCACAAATACAAATTTGTCCGTTGCCTGTTGTTGTCGTGGTAAACTTTTCACATTTTCATCTTCTTCAACCAAACTTCCCCAAAAGTATCCTTAAATAATGGAGATTCAAGTAAGTACAAATGAAGGGTCAAACCCTCTTCCAAGGGGAGATAATTATGAATTAATAAAAAAAAAAATAATGGCATCTCTTAAAAATCTTTTTCTCCAGAACCACTGGGACTGGAAAAATGAAGCTAATGTGAAAGCATCCTCAGGTAGTAAGGATTCAAGTTTGGTCAAATCATGACCCCCGGGGGTAGGGTGGGTCCTCAATACCTGATCAAAGTTTTATATCGGAATATATAAGGAAAATCTTATGAAATCTTTTTCTCTAAAACCATCAGGCCAGTAAAATGAAATTCATGTAAAAGCATCCTCTTGTAGCGTAGATTCAAGTTTAATCAAATCATGGCCCCCGAGGATAGGGCGGGGCCACAATGGCTGATCAATGTTTTACATAGGAATACATAGGAAAATTCTTTTAAAAATTTTCTTCTCAAGATCAGCAAAGATGTGATTGGAGATATTAATATGGAAACATCCCCAGTTAGAGTTAATTCAAGTTTTGTTCATGTCATGACCCCTCGGGGAGGGGGTAATGTGGGGCCATGATGGTCAATCAAATCTTTACATAGAAATAAATGGGGAAAATCTTTAAAACTCTTCTTTTCAAGTATACGAAATTACATGCATACTTTATTGATATAGTGACATTCTCATCTAAACAAGAGGCCCATGTGCCACATCGTTCACTTGAGAAGCTTCGACCATTCTGTTCTTTACCAGATTTCCCCTTTGTAATACATATTGTGACCCCACTTATATAATTTAGACAATTTGAAATGTACATTACCACAGGATTCTTTGATTCCCCATTGTAAAACTTTGATTCCCCATTGTGGCCCGGCCCTACCCCTAGCGGTCATGATTTTAACAATTTAGAATCTACACTACCCCAGGATGCTTCTACATAGGATTCAGCTTTTCTAGCCCAGTGGTTCTTGAGAAGAAGATTTTCAAAGATTTTTCCTATATATTTCTATGTAAAACTTTTATTCCCCATAACGGCCCCGCCCTACACCTGGGGGTCATAATTTGAACAATTTAGAATCTACACTACCCCAGAATGCCTCCGCATAATTTTCAGCTTTTCTGGCCCAGTGGTTCTTGAGAAGAAGATTTTTAAAGATTTTCTCTATATATTTCTATGTAAAACTTTGATTCCCTATTGTGGTCCCGCCCTTATACCGGGAGTCATGATTTGAACAATTTAAAATCTACACTACACAAGGATGCTTCCACATCAGTTTCAGCTTTTCTGGCTCAATGGTTCTTGAGAAGAAAATTTTTTAATGACCCCACCCTATTTTTGTCTTATCTTGATTATCTCCCCTTGTGATGGGACTTGGCCCCTCATTTTAACAATTTACATTCACCTTCACCCGAGGATGCTTTGTACAAAGTTCGATCAAAATTGGCCCAGTAGTTCTTGAGAAGAAGTCGAAAATGTGAAAAGTTAACAAACGGACAGACAGACAGACGGACGGACGGACAGCTAGACGGACGGACGGACGACGGACAAAATGTGATCAGAAAAGCTCATTTGAGCCTTCGGCTCGGTGAGCTAAAAATGATTCAAATTCCGTCCCCCTTAACACGTAAACTGTTCAATAGTCAATTGGTTATTTTTCTTTATTGTTGCCAGCTATCTGACTGGGTCAAACTAAAAGACATGATCAAGTATAAAAAGTGTTGATCATGTATAAAAAGTGTTACAGACTGTATGTTTAAATTTCAAAAATTTCTAAACCTGCTCTTTCTCAAATTAAAAAGGATCTTATATGAAGCGACAATTGTGCTAAAAATATATACTGCAGCTGGTATTCATTAATGTGACGTCATAATGCAAATGACCTATCAATGCCATATATGAAAAGTTACTGAGTATTAGAAAGAAGGATTTTAAGACATTTCTAATAACTGATAAAACATGTAATAAAATAATTGTTGCCTTTTGATTCGGTTGAATCCCTTGATACATGTGTACATGTCTAAAACTTAGAGAACGTCGTCGGTCTGCAACTTTTGCTCTGAGCGTGGTCGTTAATGTCAACATGACCATGGACAAGGACGAACTATTCTGAAGTTAACTCATTAATTACGATATTTGTTGACTTTTAACATTCGATAAGTCTTTATAAGTTAACATATTAATTATTTTGACAATTTAATTCGAAATTCATCTCGATTACATTCCTTTGCGGTTTAAGGTATTCCTACTCCGTACAGAAATAACGGATTGTATGGAGGCCTTTAAGTGAAATATTTTAAATAATTTTGAAAATTCCTTATTGGAATTTAATGTGTAAACTCTTGACATTTTACATACAAATTTAACGTAAAAGTACCTCGCACTTTTATTTAGTTTGTGAGTAAAATGTCGAGAGTTTACACATGGACAAATTTTTCAAAAAGAACGTTTAATCCCATAGTTTACCACGGATACAATATTTTTAGTGCAAAAAAGGTTAAGCAACAATTTATACACTTTTATTTGTATAATTCGTTCAAAATAACATACAACTTAAACGATTTTATGAAAAATTAGATATTATTATAGTTATGATTGAATTTGATAAAATATTATGAAAATTAATGATCAAAATTTAAGTGCAAAAAGTTCAAATTTATTTTCACCAATTCCCAGAAAGATTCACACTAACCCCTGATAATTTTTATTCATGCTTAAACTTACCTCCTGCACTTTTAGCTGCCTCGATCAAGGCTGTCTGAAATACAGATTTTGCCCATGGTCTTGGAACAAAACTGTCAGAATCTCCAGTGATGGAGAACACAAATGAAGGGGTCGATCCTACTTTTTCGATGATTTCTCTCCATGCTTTTTGAACATCAGACTATATCATGTAACCAAAAAGATGTATTTGTTAGTAGAATGTCCTTTTTCAAAATTATATTGTATGTTTTATATAAATAGAAGTATCAACAAGGTAGGGTATTTCTTATTATCACAACTTCTGGTTATCTGGTACATTGGACCTTCAGAAATCAGAACACAAGATATCCGGATGCGTCGGGACAGAATTTTTAAATGTTATTTTGTCTTGTTTAACTGGTGATTCAGATATCCAGATGCTTCACATATCCGGACAAATTGACTAGGAACCAAAGCGTCCGGATAAATGAGGCTCCACTGTATTTCTTATTAATACAATTTCTTGTTATCTCCATAATCAATAATCTGAGAGCGATATTTTTTTCAGATATGAAAAGGTTAGAAATACCTTGCCTCAGGACCGCTAAATGAAGCAAACTGTAAGTCTGTATTTAAATTTCAATTGTTGATAAAATAACCTTGCAGTTCTTGGTTTTTGAAATGTAGATTACGCTAAATGAATGGTTACAAACTGACATGCAATAAATACAATTTTATGTTTTGTTTTATTTCATTGGGTTCTGTTGTATGGAATACGTCATGAAGAGTCGCTTTTTGGCGTTCTTGAATTATTAGATATTACTTACTAAAACATCAGTGCAAAAAAAAAAAGATTCATTGTATTTACAAAACAGATGCACTGAATTGTAGAAATTTTAATAAAACAGAATTTGGTCATGTGTTGTTTGTAATATTATATTTGCAAATCTGTTCAAAAGTTCCTTTCTTGCTACATTCCTACTAAATATCTTATTTTTAAAGATGAAAGTGATTTATATATGCCTCTAGAATACTCAGTCTTTTTGTTATTATATTTATTTACCTTATTTATTTTTGCAATGTCCATTTCTTTTAATTTCCTTTTTAAGGAACATTATCAGCCATTTTCTAAAACTTGTATAGAGTATTTAATTTGACTTTGGTTTTCGTCTGTACAGTTTTTTTTACATGATTAATTATATCCATGTACATAATGTAATTTATTTCAACTTGTCTTACGTCATCCCTTTGTCATTTTATTATGTCAAATATATAATTACTTTAGCTTATGGTAGCAACGTGTTTTTATGCATTTTAGAACATTTATTGTAATTTGTACCGATATTTCAGGATAGTGGCCCACAAAACGGTCCAGAAATTTCTCCCGATTAAAAGTTTGAAGTCTCTGATTTTTTATTTCATTGACATTCATTGACATTTCACAACTGTATCGTATATCATTTGAAAACATGTCTTTCCTTAATTTTCACATGTTTCTACAAAAAAAGCTTTAATTGATATCTTGTTTTATTTTACCACTGAATGGATTTCTTTAAATATTCATGTAGCGATTTCAAATTATAGCAAATGGTTGTTATCAAATTACAAATGATAAAGGCCTCACAATCTCGTCTTTAAAACTGACCTTCGACTCTGTTTTTTGGCTTCCACCTGGTTCGTAAGACATAATTCGTCTTGTACGTCATCGATCATGCAAAAAAACTATGAAAAGAGTTTGATACATGCATGCATTCAATAAATAAAACATATATTTTATGCTTTTGAATACAATTATACTTGTTTTTGTGAGAAAACTAAAGAAACATATTTTTACTTAGATTTAAGAGGACAATTGTTTTTAAAGAAAAACAGAAAAGTCATCGATAATTTTCAAAGCCGATGTCATGCAAGTTTTTTTCTGCATTGTAACAAAAGCCTATTTAAATCTGCTCTTTATACTTGATTCAGATAACTTTTTACACTTATTTAGGGCCTAAATGAACAAAGAACTAAAGACGAGAAACATACAAATTTAGCGAGATCAGAGGGATTCATTTGTAATTATTAAAGAATTACAGTACTATCAGGGTAACATCATGGTGTTTTCACAGTAAATAACACTAAATAAAACTGACCATTTACAGGTACCTCATAATCTCTATGCGGAGAGCCATAATTACCTTCAAATCAGCTTAAATAATGTTGTGTAATGCTAAATAATCACCCATATATGCAGAAATTTATTTTTTTTAATTAATTTTAAGAAATTTGTGTTCAATTTTACATATATTTTTTCCGACTAATCGATTACGTATACAGATTTTCAAACCGATTTCCAAACCGATTGCAACTTTATTTTGGTCTTATTGATCATAATGGTTTAGATTACATACAGATTGATCAAAATAACACATTTTACCAGTAAAATAAAATTCTCAAAAATGCATCTAATATTGCTTTAAATGACAGACTACTCAGATGTAGCATTCAAAGTGAAACATTTACATGAAAACGCTATACTTTTATAGATTTATGGAAGGAATGTTATTTTAACCTATGTTATACGATATAATATAATTATTGACAGTTTACGCTTAAACTACTGAAGAAGTACTTTTTTCCCGCGTGGTATTAATTTACGCTCTGAACGCCGTCACAAATTTTCCGCGAAAATTTGTCCAAGTACGTATAAATGTACTTGGCATGTTGTGACAGTCTGAGAGATTCGCGTAATTTTCAACCCGTGGATTAAATGGAAATTGCGATTCCACGCGTACGGAATTATGACCGCGAGGAAAAAACATCGTCTACAGTATCCCAAAATAGCAAACTGCCCAAAAGTATATCTTAAACTATATCATACATGTTGGTTCAAATAAGCTTCAGTCCTTATAATTTAAGTTCACTGTGTACAATAAGAGAATTCTCACAAAATGGCTTCAAATTGAGCACATTTTAAATGTAAAACATTGTTGAGGTAACTCATTGTGGCGTAGGCAAATTGTGTTATACGAAACAAAAAAAAATATTTCAACCAATTAAATGACGTGTTAGAAATAACGGAAATAAAATGATTTTATTTGATTAATTAATTGATTGTTTGTTTGTTTCCAGAATATTTCACTCATAAAAAAAACGTTACCGTATACCAGAGAAGGGCTTCAAATTTTGGATCGGCTTTCAGGGTCATTGAGCAGTGAGGGATCTTAGTCGTGTCAACGTTTGCCATGACACGGGGCCTCGGTTTTTAAATTCTTATCCTAAGGACTTGCATCCGTCACTTCAAAGTGCCGAGCTCTATGTCGGAGGAACAGTTGCTACCCATTACTTATCGACTTATTAGGTCAGTCGCGGCACAAATTTTGAAGGAATTTAAAACATATCAATATATGTTTCGTTGCCAGTGACGTAGTCTATCGTTACTCAGCTATGTTAAGGACCGATATGGAAATTGTGACATTTGTACCATTTTACTATGTACATGTATTACTTATTTTTAAAAAAAAATTAACAAAGCAACTGAACACTTGTAGAAAATGTTATATAGCTATCAATAATGGATAAAACTGGTCCGTAGTTAACTTATTATCAGTTATATCGCATGTATCAGCTGTTTGTCACGTGACTTGTATAAAAATACAATTGTTAAGGTGAATGTAGGAAATGAGAATAGTGCAAGAGCATACGCTTGTTTTTAAAGAAAAAAATTGATACATATTAAAAGATGTTTAATTCCTCTACCCAAAAAGTGCTGGGAGCTAGCCTGTGCTGTTTGCAAAGTACTGAAAATTTTGCCGAAAATGCTTATGATAGCTATAAATTTCCACTTCGCACAAATTCTATTAGAAATTAAAATAATGTTATGCAGACCAGGATCAGCTCCTAACACTTTTTAAAATATACACTATATAAGCAATAAATATTCCAAATTTCAGTTCAAACAAAATAGTCTATGCCCTTGCACTTTTGATGTAAATCAAGAAGGCCCTTATCGTTTTAGGGATATTCTCTACATTCCTTGTCCCTGTGCAGCCCCAAAGCTACTAGATAATTCATATTCTATACAAATTGTATTTAAAAAATCATCGATGATATCATAATTATTTATGCATTCTTGTAATTATTAAACCAGTTAATCTAGTCCTCTGGATCACCTGTTCTGCGTCATGTCAAGGCTGATGACGTCACATTTGACGATAGACTTTCTTCTATTTCTCTACTGTATTGCTATCAGGTATTACAATTTTACAAGATTTTATGAATAATTGATAAAATTAATAAATTTAAGTTGTTATTTAGGCATGATCGTGTCGTTAATTAATTTGTGTGGCTTGTTAAAATTCAATTACGTCACAATTAAACTTCCAATACGTTGTACCAGGAATGTGAACTTTGACCTTCCTTAACATAGCTGAGAAGTAAGTTCATGAAAAAAATTTAAATGCATCGTAAGAAATTCTTAATTAAAATCATATGCACAAAACATCAATTTTCGTGAAAAGGCTATTTTGGTAATAAACAGTAAAGTTAGTAGATGTTGAATGAATGTTTCTTGCATAACGAAAATGGAATAATGAGCCATCTACAAAATTACTCTAAACGTTCTATGAATAGCCTTGAAAAAGCTTTGTTGCAGAAAGCTTGAGGTAATTTGATTCCATGTTGTATACATATGAATAAAGCTGATGTATCGAACTTTTTTCAAATTTTAATAAAATTCAAAGGCCTTTAAACTGAAATGGATCAGATTTTAATTTTCTTAACAAACGATATGCTGAAATTTCGAAAAAAAAGTATATTCGGATAGAGATAAAAGTTGTGTTTTTCTTATATCGAATTTTTGTTACTTCTTAAACACCGATGGATATAAAAAGTTCAGTCTATTTCCGACTGAAAGATGTTTGTGTAAATAGAAATAGTTATTCTATTCGCCATGCAGCTGTATAAACTTTGCATCTGGACGATATATGCATTAAATCGATGCTCGTTATGTCGCAAAGAAATTGGCGGTTTCACGATGTCATATTAACTTTAAATAAAAAATTAAATTATTTATGTTATCTAAAGTAATAAATAATTTTTAAAAAGAACTCTTAAAAATAATTTGCAAATATTTTAATTATGATGAGGTCTTATTTAAATATTGATCATTACGGCGAAATTCCCGTGTCCGACGTTACATCAATTATTGTTCGCGCACCTACAAGGTATGAAAAAATGCACTTACAATCCTCTAAATAAAATGAAATTTAGGGGATGCAATAAAATACATGCATTGTTTAAGATATTGTTGAGTTTTTTACATCGTTTTATCAATTTCATGAATTTGGACTGGATCTATAGTGCGTAAGAATAATGTCTACTAGAGAAAAATCGTTTCCTTACATTCACATTAGCCGAAATGGTGATGTATGTCAGACATAAATTCGAAACAAATTAAAATTTTTGATAAATAATACCTTAGTACATATATTTTTCAGATTAATTGAGTTGATAATCTTATATTACTTTTCAGACGTAAATAATAGAAAGGCTTTCTTAAGTGTAGCTATTTTGTTATGCACACACGAGTCACTGTATTGCTACTTGATATGTCTCAGTTACATATAGAATATATATAAATTAATGTAAGATACATTGTATATACTTATCATTACTATAGCTTGAAAGAACATTTAATATTGCATTTACTAATTACATATTTTTACAGTAATCGTCTACATGAAATAAATGCAAGCATCAATAAAAGTGTAGCCATTTTGTCACAGGCACGAAAAAAGTCATTTTACACACCACGTATGTACATATGACGTTGGGAGCGTCAAATTAAAATCACTGTCTTTTTTTCCCGCAGTTCCGTAGTACCAGGCCACAGGTACTTGTGTACAGCCCCCCCCCCCCGGAATTGATCCCCAGAGCTTGTTGGATTCTTTAAATTATATTTATTACACTTAGTTATCACGTGTACCATAGGAAAAATCATGAAAACCCCAAAAAATATCATTTCACAGAAAAATACCCCACTATACGAAGTATACATTACAAGAGCACTCCTTTCCCTGACCAAAAATAGTAATAAGATTTTAAAAGTTTGGTGATTAACCAAGAATGATGAAACGTGTCCATTCCTCCTTTTTCACCCCCCCCCCCATCATTTATAAAATTGATACTTTAGCTTAAAGATTTTTTTTTCATGTTCTATATACGATTCAAGACTAGCCTAAACAACAGCCTACTACTTGGGCTGACAAAAGCAAGAACATTTCAATCAAATATAAGTTAAGATTAGATAGCGTTTACCTACATGTATCATAAAAGAGCCCATTCACATTACAAAAAGACATCAGTCGTGCACTTAGCATATAATGTGTTTTATTTAAAATGACGACCAATTCCATTGAAACGTAGGAAGTATGAAAATTTTAACTCTCATTTTCTCTATATACAACCAATGGGCATGGGACGCTATATAGGAATAGAAAACTTGTAATGACCTAACTGAAAAAAAAATTAAAAAAGGGAAAGCTACTTAAGTGTTTTCTTTTTATTTATAAGACAAACAGTACAAAGTGAAAAAAAGAAAGAGGAATAAAGGATATTCTACCACGATTATTGAAAACATCAAAGGAAACCAGCGGACATTATTCTCCAATACATCACGAACGTCATCAAAAAATTATTAGATCAGAAATACGTATCAAATCTGAACAATTCAAATGAAAGTTTGGCTGTAGGATGAAATACTTGTTTAGACCGCATCGATGTTTCGTCCTTTGCAGTATAAACACTGTAAATTGCATCAAGTTGCTGATGAATGTCGATTTTTATAGCTAAGCGGGGCTATTCCACGGACCTCCCTACACATTACCAGGTAAACAACGTGATTTTAGCAGTGAAACAAGAAAATGATTTTGTTATTGTATATTCATTTAAACTGATCAATACATACTGCGAACAGATTTTCAATTTAAAAAGACTATTTTTAATGCAATGAAAGCTCAAATCGTCTGCACTCCATATTAAGGTAAGTCAACAAAATTTCCCACTGGTGTTAAATGGAACAGCCTAATCGAGACATGGTGACCTAATTCGTTTCTCTATAGAGGAAACGATCGGCCCCGCTTATCGACCTTGGTAGAATAGAAAAAAGTCCTTGTTGTCGTGAATGATACAGAATAACCTCCGCGGTCCCGAAATGTTGTTTGAAATATAAAAGCCTCGGCTAACGCCTCGGTTTTTATCTTTCAAACAACATTTCTCGACCTCGGAGGCTATTCTGCAATATTCACGAAAACGCGGGCTTTATTTCTAAATTCACTGAGTACCTTTGACATTTCAGTAATTAAAATTTTGCAATTCATTCATAGGACTTATTAGTAATTATCTTAATATTTCAAATAGAGGGTTCAAACATTGAAAGTTTTGTTCCCTGTAATATTATTTTTATATTTTTGAAAAAAAAAATTCAAGATTTAGACTTTTAGATCTTAAATATGCATTATAAGGATCAAAACGTTATAACAACGTTGTGACTTAAATAAGTTATTTTGACGTTCATGTAACGTCAAAGTGTACCAACACCGTGCGCAACGTCTCTGCAAAATAATCACGAGGACCAGTGAACAAATTATTTCAGGGCGTCGATAGCTAACTCTACGCATTGCTCATATGTATTCAAAAGTGATCGACCGAAACTGAACACAAATAAAAGCATGTGTCTAATTAAATGATAAAGAAAATCAAAGTTTATATTTTTCCACGAATCGAGCTGTGTATCAGAACTAGGATTTACAGCTTGCTAACAAAATCTATTTAAAAATATAGTATTATTTTTATTTCCAACTTTTATACGTCTGAAAAATTTTTCTTGTTTCAAAAATAGTTCGTACGTTTTCGACAGAACGGTTTTTCTTTTAACTACTCTTTTTCTTTGGTCAATCCCATGTTTATTTCAAGAATTGTAACCCAAAGATGAAAAAGCATACCTCAATTGTGTGCTTACACAATTAAAGACACATGTGTACAAAAATTACTAAAGTTAATGTTCTAAATGGGACGTTTTTGTAAGTATATTTGTCTCTTTTTATTACACTCAGTAAATGAAAATATTAGTCATTAGAAATTTAATACAAACTTGATTCAGTTCCTTTTTTTTATTTAAAAAAAAATCTCTAAAATGCATTTGTTAAATAAATAAATAAAGTCCATATTTTTTACCTCTCTAAGATCGCCTTTTTGGTAAGGACTTCATCCAAACACTGATTTTTTTCTCCTCACGCCTGAAAGTTTAAGATCTGGAACACGTAACAGAGCTAAAACTTCCAAGTAATTTTTTGTTGCTATTCTTTTCTCTAGTCCAGTAAAATATTACGATTATATGGAAAATACCTAGATGACTGTTTTGGACATTTTAAAGCTATGTTATAATTTGTTCAGACATGTCAAGAATATTGGTAATTCAAATTATTGACTTACAAGCAATAGTTACCTGCATAAATAACTTTGCATGTCACTGAGTTTCTTTGGGAGATTTAAATGAATTTTTGAAAATGATGATCGATGAGAACTGCACTTGAGGTTTTTAAATTAATTGATCTTGTTTTCGGTGTGCAGCGAAGGTTATTAAAAAATCAGTTTTATAGGAGCTATCGTCCTTTAAGAAACGCTTAGAAATAACTGTTTCAATATTGCAGCTGTTTAAATTTTGACTAGCTTCCCTTACTGGATAATTCTACTTTTTTTCGTATTCTAATATATAATGTATCATGATGAAAAAAATTTGAGGATAAAAAAACTGGTTGTGATCAGAAGTCATAAAGCATAAAGGTTTTTATGGTGATGGACATATTTTTTTTTTTTACTGAGTAAACTATATATACCTTGGTACAATGCATTTTTGACAAGATAATTTTAAGAAATATATAAAAGTTTGGCTTTACAGTTGCCAATAAAATTAGGACAATTAGGTTATTCCCTAAAAAAATGTCCTTTAAAAGCTAATTTATTTCACGCATTTAAATCAGTTTTAAGTTCTGCTTGTAACATGTTCCAGTCATTGACTCCATTAAATTAAAATTATTTATTGTAGAAAAATTTGATCATGTACAATTTTTTTAGAACTAAGTGGCATGTGTTTTCCATTGAAAGAGCGTTGGACGTCGCTGAATTCTTGTGTTGAACGTTAACATTAGCAATGTAGAAATTTAAATGCTTTGATATTGTTATAGATAGTTCATTCCGTTTACTGTTCTAAAGAGTTATTTAGTATTATAAGTCATTTACAGTATCCTACCCGTATGTTAATTGTATATAAAAGTCAAAGTATGATTGTATCAATTTTAAACTTTTTTCAATGAATTTATTTATATTTTAAATACATTATTCGAGATACATTTTCAATATTTTAATTAAAAATGACAGTCACAAACTATTCATTGTTCTGTTAAAAGAGAAAGGAAAATAGGGGTTATTGTTTCAAGATTTTCAGCACTAATACATTTTTTAAGAAAGTAAAAAGGAAATGCGTTACAAATATAAAATTAGGTAATTGAGCTTCATACACAGATTTCCAGATAGTCTAGAAAGAGTGTAATGGGGGCCTCTTGATTTGCTTGATAAGTTTATTTATGCATATTGAATCCGAAAAAATGAATGGCTTTTGTCAATCACCTAGTTGATTATTCTGTAACAATAAAGTATTGAAATAATAAGCACAAGTCAAGCTCAAAGGGCCATTTATACACAATATGTAGTAATATGGGTCCCATTTGTAACCATCAGATTGAAACAAACTGAATAAGTAAAACTGTTTCTTTGTCTTTAATTTAAGCAAAAAAATATATTTTTTCAAAAGATTTTTGGTGACTTTTTTAGAATAGGACAATTCAAACACCATTCTTCATCCACAAAGAATAAGGTACAGGTAAATGTAATATTGATGGTAAAATCATAAGTAATTATTTTTTCTTTCAAACAGTACATGTATAATTTACATTGGGCAGACTGTGGCTTCCATTGGACAATATTTCGCGCATCATAGTAAAATAAAGCGTATTTACTGTATAAAAACAACATTTTTCAATTAATCAATAAAACTCAACATAAGAAAGTATTTTTAAAAAAATATAGACTTTCTCTATTTTGGTTTTAAACAATAAAACCCCATTCGGCCCCTTAAGATTGTATTAAAAAGGAAAGGAAATAAGTTGATTTTAAAGTTTTGTATCGTACATTTTAAAACATCACGAAAGTACATCCACCTCGTGTATGAATGTAGGAATTAGTCCTGCTCTATCTTAGTTTTAATTTAATGCTCCAGACATGGTGTTCACAAATATAGCAAAGCATAATGAACCTCTTTCAAAAACATTAAAAAAAATCAGAGAAAAACATAAATATTTGCCAACGAAATAAAAAAAATATGGAGATATTTTATTGCATATGAATTCTTTAGAATTACCAAAAGTGTAATCATAATAAAAAATTGTACTCATTTATTTGCATGTACTGCCATTGTAAGTACAAAGACATATATTCTTACAAGTTACCAGAAAAAAATGTGTCTGTATGAAGTATAGGTATATCAGTAAATGAAATCGGTTGAATATTTGTTTTTGTCTGGGTTGAATCCGTACTATTCATGCTTTAAATAGTCACGTATCATGTAGATTTGCAGTGTTGTGAGACTTTCGTTGATGATTGATTGATCGAATATTGTTTAACGCCGAGTTGGCAATTTTTCAGCCATGTTTTGGCTGAGTAACACATTTGTAGTTTGCTACTACATTACAATTTTGTCACCCCAAGTATCGATATTTCTTACATGTTTGTTTGTTTTGATTTTACTCTCTATGAGTCCTTTTCTTATGTAGAGTGATATGGATAATAGTTGGAACTAAAGACTGTATTGTATACTGTATTAATTTCATTAGTCTGTTGTACTGTAAACAATTTATGTTGGTGAATAAGTACATCAAAATTATTTATTGAAAAATCCTGTCTTCTTTCACATTCTATTGAATATTTCAAATGCAGTGTTCCGCTGGAGATGGATTCGATAAATTCTTTGTTCTTTGGCAAACTCCAGTTCCTGTACTTTGTTAAAACATCCTGAAAACAAACACAAATTCTGAATAGACTTCTCTCACAACTGCATTCATGTTTGATTTGTGATATTGAATTACCTCTAATTTTTTCTCTACATCCCCTGTTCCTTTTAAAGCAGCAGCAGAATCGATACGGTAGAAGAAGATTGAAGGGAGATGGAATTCTCCACACGTAGTCGTTGATTACAGTGCATGTGTTAAATCTCCAGTAGGTTTCAGAATTCTCGAGAACTCTTGTAAAGGTATTACTAAAAAGAGAGAATTTTTAATTTTTATTTCAAGCATTAGATATCATGAACCTTATATTCTGCATTTCTATAGTGGTCGATCGAGAGCGTTTCCTATATACTGCATGTTTCATGTTTATTAATTTTATCCGATAAAAGAAGAGAGCGAAAGACAGACAGGTATAATAAATGCTTAAGTCTTAGCTCATATGATACAAAAGAAAAAATATACATATATAAGCCTAATTAAAGCAATAAACAAAGAACAAAAGTTAATTTTAGATTTCAACGCAAGTTACCTAAACATGGCAATAACCAAATTCACTAAGACCAGGTTTGAGAACAGTATGTAGATGGCGGATATGGCTGACACAGTCCAGTCCTTCTCAGGACAGCGGTCAATGGACGGGTCCGCCTCCCAGACGCTCGTCACGTTAGTACAGCTTGTTAGAATACCTCCTGCATCATTCAATAAAAAACAATATCATTTATTGTAGGCGAGGGTCGATTATGATTAAATATTATTTTAAAGAGTCCATTTTTATGATGATATTCACATTCTTTTTTTTTCTATCAAGTCAACTAGAGAAAAGATTTAAATTCTATTTTTTTTTTGTAAACTCACGCGTAGAAATATACAAGAAGAAATGTGCGCTAGCATGAAGTCACAATCAGGCTCCAAAGATGTTATTAAAAATAAAGCGATACAAGGCAGGGAAAAAATCAATAAGTGTATATTTTAGTTGCTTTTACATATGTAAGATGTACAATGTAAATATAAGGAATGTTTTTTAAGTTATGTGTGAGTTATCGGTGTGTACAAGACAAAAGACTTGCACGTAGGTATTTTTTTTATGAAGGGCTCACTCCCTTCATGAAATATGCCTATGTGACATATCTGTGTGATTTACACACCAATTACTCACACACAACTAATAAAAACGTCCCTTAATTAATTTAGGTTGGACCGTTTTTTTTTTTTTTTTTACAATTTAATATATATTTTACAGAATCCATGCATTTTCGATAAGAATTCTGAAACATACCTTCCAGATATTTATTGTTAGACTCCCCTTGTAACTGCCAATAGGATGTCTTAAACATACCTTCCAGATATTTATTGTTAGACTCCCCTTGTAACTGCCAATAGAATGTCTTAAACATACCTTCCAGATACTTATTGTTAGACTCCCCTTGTAACTGCCAATAGAATGTCTTAAACATACCTTCCAGATATTTATTGTTAGACTCCCCTTGTAACTGCCAATAGGATGTCTTAAACATACCTTCCAGATATTTATTGTTAGACTCTCCTTGTAACTGCCAATAGAATGTCTGAAACATACCTTCCAGATATTTATTGTTCGACTCCCCTTGTAACTGCCAATAGAATGTCAGAAACATACCTTCCAGATATTTATTGTTAGACTCCCCTTGTAAATGCAAATAGAATGTCTGAAACATACCTTCCAGATATTTATTGTTCGACTCCCCTTGTAACTGCCAATAGAATGTCTGAAACATACCTTCCAGATATTTATTGTTAGACTCTCCTTGTAACTGCCAATAGAATGTCTGAAACATACCTTCCAGATATTTATTGTTCGACTCCCCTTGTAACTGCCAATAGAATGTCAGAAACATACCTTCCAGATATTTATTGTTAGACTCCCCTTGTAAATGCAAATAGAATGTCTGAAACATACCTTCCAGATATTTATTGTTCGACTCCCCTTGTAACTGCCAATAGAATGTCTGAAACATACCTTCCAGATATTTATTGTTCGACTCCCCTTGTAACTACAAATAGAATGTCTTAAACATACCTTCCAGATATTTATTGTTAGACTCCCCTTGTAACTGCCAATAGGATGTCTTAAACATACCTTCCAGATATTTATTGTTAGACTCTCCTTGTAACTGCCAATAGGATGTCTTAAACATACCTTCCAGATATTTATTGTTAGACTCCCCTTGTAACTGCCAATAGAATGTCTTAAACATACCTTCCAGATATTTATTGTTCGACTCCCCTTGTAACTGCCAATAGGATGTCTTAAACATACCTTCCAGATATTTATTGTTAGACTCCCCTTTTAACTGCCAATAGAATGTCTTAAACATACCTCTTAGATATTTATTGTTAGACTCTCCTTGTAACTGCCAATAGAATGTCTGAAACATACCTTCCAGATATTTATTGTTCGACTCCCTTTGTAACTGCCAATAGAATGTCTGAAACATACCTTCCAGATATTTATTGTTAGACTCCCCTTGTAAATGCAAATAGAATGTCTGAAACATACCTTCCAGATATTTATTGTTCGACTCCCCTTGTAACTGCCAATAGAATGTCTGAAACATACCTTCCAGATATTTATTGTTCGACTCCCCTTGTAACTGCCATACCTTCCAGATATTTATTGTTAGACTCCCCTTGTAACTGCCAATAGAATGTCTGAAACATACCTTTCAGATATTTATTGTTAGACTCCCCTTGTAACTGCCAATAGGATGTCTGAAACATACCTTCCAGATATTTATTGTTAGACTCCCCTTGTAACTGCCAATAGAATGTCTTAAACATACCTTCCAGATACTTATTGTTAGACTCCCCTTGTAACTGCCAATAGAATGTCTTAAACATACCTTCCAGATATTTATTGTTAGACTCCCCTTTTAACTGCCAATAGAATGTCTTAAACATACCTTCCAGATATTTATTGTTCGACTCCCTTTGTAACTGCCAATAGAATGTCTGAAACATACCTTCCAGATATTTATTGTTAGACTCCCCTTGTAAATGCAAATAGAATGTCTGAAACATACCTTCCAGATATTTATTGTTCGACTCCCCTTGTAACTGCCAATAGAATGTCTGAAACATACCTTCCAGATATTTATTGTTCGACTCCCCTTGTAACTGCCATACCTTCCAGATATTTATTGTTAGACTCCCCTTGTAACTGCCAATAGAATGTCTGAAACATACCTTTCAGATATTTATTGTTAGACTCCCCTTGTAACTGCCAATAGGATGTCTGAAACATACCTTCCAGATATTTATTGTTAGACTCCCCTTGTAACTGCCAATAGAATGTCTTAAACATACCTTCCAGATACTTATTGTTAGACTCCCCTTGTAACTGCCAATAGAATGTCTTAAACATACCTTCCAGATATTTATTGTTAGACTCCCCTTTTAACTGCCAATAGAATGTCTTAAACATACCTTCCAGATACTTATTGTTAGACTCCGCTTGTAACTGCCAATAGAATGTCTTAAACATACCTTCCAGATACTTATTGTTAGACTCCCCTTGTAACTGCCAATAGAATATCTTAAACATACCTTCCAGATATTTATTGTTAGACTCCCCTTGTAACTGCCAATAGAATGTCTGAAACATACCTTCCAGATATTTATTGTTAGACTCCCCTTGTAACTGCCAGTAAGGATAATAAATTATCTTCCAGATTCTCCAGTCGACCCAATCGCCATTCCATAGAGTCGTGTGATCCGGCCACAGGACAGCGTGGTAGTACACTCCTACCCCTAGTACAACAAACACAGCGAGGGCAAGGAAACGGGTCAGATCTATCAACTACAAAAATAAGGTAAATATTTATTTCAACTTGACTTTTATTTTAATTCAAGCTTTAGGGAATTTACTTTGGGTTGTTACTGATGAGGTGTGATTAACTGACCGACTTACGCTTTTTAAACATTTCTTCCAAACAGTGACAAAATAATATTGTTTTTTTCTTTTTCTAGGAAAGGTATTTTGGATTTTTAAAATGGTATTGCAGATACATGAACAAAATTTGCAAACTGATTTCATATCTGCTACCGATAGGACA